ACCCCATCAGGAGAACTTTATGCCTGTTGGAGCGTGGAAGCACCTCTCTCACTTCACCCAAGCCACGCCAAGGCAACCAAATTTGGGAACTGCCGCCATTTTTCTTGGCTAGCAGAGTGTATGTCCCTGACATATCTCAAAGCCTTTGATTGACTTGAGCGCATAGATATATTCCTCTGTGTAGTTAATGTAGCTCCCACATTGTACTAAGGCGAGACATGTTACAGATGTGAGCTCTCCAACTTCCTTACAAATTCTCTTCAAATCAATACGTTTATTATGGATATCTCACCAAGCCTCATGTCTCCAATAAGTGACCACTTGCTATGGTCCTATATCGAGAGTAGTGGAGTTCTATACACTAATCTATCCATAATGCCATGAGATGAGGCACGTTATCTTATACCAAGGCTCGCCATTGTTTTTTTGATTTGCCCCGATCTGTCTCTTCTTCTATGACTGTGGTTAATTCTTCATTTATATGCCTGGCATCTGGAAACCCCTTAGCAATGCCGCATGGGCCGGAGCAGCACACTAGATCATCTATGAGGGAGGGTGGAAAAGTAACAATGCAGAAGCCTTTTTCATAATAAATTAGTTTGCTCTTTGCAGACGGATGCCTAATTGGATTCATTCGCACACGCAGACCCCTATAAAGCACAATGCCCAATTCCTCTACCCTCAGATCATCCCGAGAACCTTTGCAACGTCTTTGTATTTAGGAGTGGACAGATGGGCGAATCGGGGCCTACAGTGTAAATTTCACCAAGAGTCAGAGAGCTCATGATGCTGTCTCGGAACACACCCCGTCACTCACTATCTCTCCAATAAGTAATAGAGGCTGCTTGTTTAAACGAAGAGTGCACATCAGTATAAAGTTGTAGAATATTCGTTGCCATCAATCACACAAAGTTCGGACGATATCCTAGGTGGGTACAGAATAACGAGTAGAAACTTCTAACTTAATATCTATAGTACCTCCACTATGTTACCTATCATAGCCGCCTTATTTCTCGATCAGATGTTTGACTTAAAACAAGAGACGTCTTATGTAGTATGAGTATGTAAATAGAACAATAGGATATACCTACTCTAGCTCAGAGCCAAGATATAAATAGCCTTATGAGGTGCGAAATATGATCCGACCAGGATACTCTCAAATTACTATACTGGGCCAGGTTACCTTTGTCTCTGCAACTCCTCCCGCAATACTGGAGTCGCTCTCGCGTCAACTCTCAAAAACTATCTACAGTTGGCTATATCGGGATGCAGAAACCACTGTACACTCTTTCATCTTCTCACATAAAAAAACCAAGAATAAGCCCCAAATACCTGCACCTCCCCACCTCAGAAGGAGGATGGGGAATCCCCAACATAGAAGCATATTACACTGCCAACCAAATACGCCATATAATCCCATATATACTAGAAGATGAGACAAAACAATGGGTACACCTAGAGAGGGACACAATTGAAAACACCTGCACCACAACATACCCACTCCTCCCAGACAAACTAAGGAAAATTCCCACAACACTTAACAGGTACACACAGACCATGCTCAAAGCATGGAAAACACAAATAGGCAAACTATCCCCAACCCCATCCCCACTAATCCCCCTGGCGTACCACCCATTATTCCACCATGCAGCACAAAACCTCCAGATAAAAACCTGGCGAACCAAAGGCTTATATCGCCTAATAGACTTCTATAAAAACAACAAACCCTTGTCAACACAAGAAATACAAGACAAACTAGAAGACACCCAAATGCCCTGGTTAACACAACACCAACTACATGCCCTCTTAAACAACCCAACAGTAAAATCAGCAGCAACTAGGCCCCTGACAACCTTCGAAAACCTCCTCCTAACAACAAAGGGAAACGGTAAAGGGATGGTATCCGCAATATACAAAATACTGCTCCAAAATCCCGCAAATCCGCTAGACGCAATCAAAAAACAATGGGAGAATGACATAGGCTATGAGATTAACCCCACTCAATGGACCAGAATGTGGTCTAAACCCCCCTTTAAATCCATATCAACGAAAAGAAAAGAACTCACACTGAAACTCACCTACAGGTGGTACCTAACACCAAGGAAACTAGCGCTAATACACCCAGGAACCTCACCAAAATGCTGGAGAGGGTGCACCTCCACAGGCACATACTTCCACATGTGGTGGGAGTGTCCCAAAATCCAACTATTCTGGACAACAGCCATACAAGAAATTTGTAAAATAACTAAGCAAGTAATAGACACCACCCCAGAATTGGCCCTACTAAACATCTTCCAAGACAACAATGCCCATTTACACCACAAAGAACTCATAACCCACCTGCTCTCAGCAGCCAGAAACACCATAACCAGACACTGGAGAGACCTGTCAGGAGTAAGCATGGACCAATGGTATCAAATAGTATGGGAAACAGCCCTACTAGAAAAATTAACTAATAAACTGAAACTGACACGGGGACAAACAGAAGAAGATGCCTTCACCCCGGTATGGCTCCCCTTTATCACACACACAGCCCAACAGGACAATGACAATAATCCACCAACAGCATACAAATCAATATGGCTAACCTGATCCAAAACACCCACCCACCTCACTCACACACGAAAACAAAAGATCACCACAGCCAATCACAAGCAAACAATCACACCCTAGGCCAACCCCAACCTCTCTCACCACCAAAGGAACACAAGTGAACAACACAAGCACGCTGACACCAAACTCTACATACATTAAACATAATAGAAACACCGCCACCCAATCCCACCCTTATCCATCTTCCCCCTCTCCACCCCCCTTTCTTTTTTCTCTCCTTTTTTATTTTTTATTTTTATTTTCTTCTCCCCCTAATGCCTCAACAAATGAAACGGATTTGTAAAAATGTTACATGGGGAAAAATATATATGAGGCACTACACTTCTGTAAAACAAGAAAATCCTTAATAAAATATTTAAAAAAAAAAAAAACATCTCTGACAAACGTTTGAGTTTTTTTTAGACCAGGCACCCCCAAACTTGGCCTTCCAGCTGTTTTGGGACTACAATTTCCATCATCCCTGACCACTGGTCCTGTGAGCTAGGAATGATGGGAGTTGTAGTCCAAAAGCAGCTGGAGGGCAGAGTTTGGGGGTGCCTGGATTAGGTTTTCCTCTCATTTTGATGTTTCTACGGTGAACCCCTTTTGTCTGTCCTTGCTATATAATAATAATAATAATAATAATAAATTTTATTTATATCCCGCCCTCCCCAGCCGAAGCGGGGCTCAGGGCGGCTAACAACACTAAAACAATGCAACATTATAGAAACATTATAAAAATTAATTAAAATACAAATTGATGGCAACCATAAACTAAAGTTTTGTGAAGATTGCCAAAGGAGGGAGTCAGGCTGCGCCCTGACCAAAGGCCTGGTGGAACAGCTCTGTCTTGCAGGCCCTGCGGAAAGATGTCAAGTCCTGCAGGGCCCTTGTCTCTTGCGACAGAGCGTTCCACCAGGTTGGAGCCGCAACCGAAAAAGCTCTGGCTCTAGTTGAGGCCAGCCTAACCTCTCTGTGGCTTGGGACCTTCAAGATGTTTTTATTTGAAGACCGTAAGTTCCTCTGTGGGGCATACCAGGAGAGGCGGTCCCGTAGGTACGAGGGTCCTAGGCCGTATAGGGCTTTGAAGTTTAAAACCAGCACCTTAAACCTGATCCTGTACTCCACCGGGAGCCAGTGCAGCTGGTATAGCACCGGATGAATGTGATCTCGCAGCGAAGACCCCGTAAGGAGTCTCGCTGCGGCATTCTGCACCCGCTGGAGTTTCTGGGTCAGTCTCAAGGGCAGCCCCACATAGAGCGAGTTACAATAATCCAGTCTGGAGGTGACCGTCGCGTGGATCACAGTGGCTAGGTCAGGGCGAGAGAGGTAAGGAGCCAGCTGCTTAGCTTGGCGGAGATGAAAAAATGCCGCCTTTGTTATAGCTGCAATCTGCGCCTCCATGGAGAGGGAGGTATCGAAGATTACACCCAAACTCTTAACGGACGGTGCTGGCACTAATTGCACCCCCGCAAGAGATGGGAGTTGCCCCTTCAATCTCATATCGTCCCGTCCCAGCCAGAGGACCTCTGTCTTCGAGGGATTTAACTTCAACCGGCTCCCACGTAACCATCCAGCCACAGCTTCCAAGCATCTGATCAGTGTGTCTGGGGCCAAGTCAGGATGGCCATCCATCAACAGATAGAGTTGGGTGTCATCAGCATACTGATGGCAGCCCAGCCCAAAACTCCGGACAATCTGGGCAAGGGGGCGCATAAAGATGTTAAAAAGCATTGGGGAGAGTATCGCACCCTGGGGCACTCCACACACCAAGGAGTGGCGGGATGACAATTCCCCCCCAAGCGCCACCCTCTGTCCCCGACCAGAGAGAAACGAGCGCAGCCATTGAAGGACTGTGCCCTGGATCCCCACGTCGGCAAGGCGGTGGTCCAGGAGTTCGTGATCAACCATGTCGAAGGCTGCTGACAGGTCTAGAAGAATCAGCAGCCCCGACCCGCCTCGATCCAGCTGCCTGCGGAGATCATCTGTTAGGGCGACCAGAGCCGTCTCAGTCCCATGACCAGCGCGGAAGCCGGACTGGAATGAATCCAGAGCCGATGTTTCATCCAGAAACCTACCAAGCTGTTCCGCAACCGCTCTCTCAATCACTTTACCCAGGAATGGAAGGTTCGAAACCGGGCGGTAATTAGATAGAGCTAAGGGATCTAATGATGTTTTCTTTAAAAGCGGGCGCACCACTGCCTCCTTCAGTTCCCCTGGGAATGTCCCGGTGCCAAGGGACAAGTTGATGATATCCCCCAGGGGGGCCCGCACCTCGTCTGGACACGCTCTATCTTTCACTGAGTTGGAAGGAGAGGTTTAATAAGCGCATTGGCCAGATACACCACTCCTAACACATCATATGTGTTAAAAATCATTGATTTTTATCCACCCTGGTGCCCTGTTACCTGAGGGATCTTGGCCATCAGCTGATAAAGTGGCGGCACTTTTACTCCTAGCTAGGGAGGCCTGGGTGGGGGTAAGCAGGCGGCTGAGCACGTTGCTCTCCATAGGACTGACCTGGGAACGGCGAGCTGGAGGGCGGGAAGAAACCAAAGAGGATTGCAACAGAAAATCCAAAAACAAAGCAAGCAGCCTAATGAAGCAAAGTATGGGAGACTATCGCAAGTCAAAGTGCATTTAGAAAGAAAGAACATCATGGAGAGACAGTGAGAGCCTACACCAGGGGTCAGCAAACTTTTTCAGAAGGGGGCCGGTCCACTGTCCCTCAGAGCTTGTGGGAGGCCGGATTAGATTTTTTTGTGGGGGGGGGGGGGAATGAACAAATTCTTATGCCCCACAAATCACCCAGAGATGCATTTTAAATTAAAGGACACATTCTACTGATGTCAAAACACGCTGATTCCCGGACTGCCCACGGGCCGGATTAATAAGGCGAATCGGCTGGATCCGGCCCCCGGGCCTTAGTTTGCCTACCCATGGCCTACACTCACATATGATTTAAAACACGTTATTCTTAAGGGAAGCTCAATAATTTTAAAATTTTAAAGCCCAATTTATATCAAAGCAAGAAACAGGTAAAAATACATGTTTTTAAAATCTGTTTTTCAGCCATCCTGCACTGCTAGTGCACAAATGCAGTACAAATGTAGTGCACATACAGTCCTCCTGCGGAAACCCCACTGATGTTAAGTATGCCTGCACATTTCTTTTTCGTCTTAATGTAGTTAATGTAGGCAAAGATCCTGGTGGATTGGCGCGCTTTACAGTGGTGCCCCGCAAGACGAATGCCTCGCAAGCCGAAAAACTCGCTAGACGAAAGGGTTTTCCGTTTTTTGAGTCGTTCCGCAAGACGAATTTCCCTATGGGCTTGCTTCGCAAGACGAAACGTCTTGCAAGTTCTTGCGAGTTTGTTTCCTTTTTCTTAAAGCCGCTAAGCCGCTAATAGCCCTAAGCCGTTAATAGCTGCTAAGCCGCTAATAGCCGTGCTTCGCAAGACGAAAAAACCGCAAGACGAAGAGACTCGCGGAACGGATTAATTTCGTCTTGCGAGGCACCACTGTACATTAACAGTGGACTACAGTTATATTTGAATATTAAACACAGTGGTACCTCAGGTTACAGACACTTCAGGTTACAGACTCCGCTAACCTCGGGTTAAGAACTTTGCTTCAGGATAAGAACAGAAATTGTGCAGCAGCAGGCCTCATTAGCTAAAGTGGTGCTTCAGGTTAAGAACAGTTTCAGGTTAAGAACAGACCTCCGGAACAAATTAAGTTCTTAACCTGAGAGGTACCACTGTATTCTTAGCAATAAGACCAGAGTTTATTTAAAAAATGGCTTTCATTAGCAACCAATTTCCCCACTTCTCCTGTTTTTCGGGCTGGGCGTTAATCTGTTTTTTGCACCTTTCTGCTCTGCTTGCAAACCTTTGGATTCTGGCTGCTCAGAATTCAGAGGAACTTTGTTATTCAGTCTGTTTAATGAAGAACTTCTTTTAGTTGAGCCTGCAAGGATAAAATCGTGCCACGATTAGCTTTGCATATAGTAGCATGTATATCAATCAAGCCAATTACGAAGATTGACAGAAGATGATTACGCTCTTCAATCTGAATTGCAATGTGTATAAAACTCCACGTAGATGGAAAGAGGAAGCACATTCTCGATTAATTCAGAAAGCAATTATTGCTGGGTGGAAATTTCTCAACCACTTTCTTTTAATTGACAGGGCCTGTGAACTACCCTTTCTAATTGGCTACAACCCTAATTGATGCAATTCTGGGCTGCATCAATAGGTGTATAGCATCTAGATCAAGGGAAGTAATAGTGCCACTGTATTCTGCTCTGGTCAGACCTCACCTGGAGTACTGTGTCCAGTTCTGGGCACCACAGTTCAAGAAGGACACTGACAAACTGGAACGTGTCCAGAGGAGGGCAACCAAAATGGTCAAAGGCCTGGAAACGGTGCCTTATGAGGAACGGCTAAGGGAGCTGGGCATGTTTAGCCTGGAGAAGAGGAGGTTAAGGGGTGATATGATAGCCATGTTCAAATATATAAAAGGATGTCACATAGAGGAGGGAGAAAAGTTGTTTTCTGCTGCCAGAGAAGCGGACACGGAGCAATGGATCCAAACTACAAGAAAGAAGATTCCACCTAAACATTAGGAAGAACTTCCTGACAGTAAGAGCTGTTCGACAGTGGAATTTGCTGCCAAGGAGTGTGGTGGAGTCTCCTTCTTTGGAGGTCTTTAAGCAGAGGCTTGACAACCATATTTCAGGAGTGCTCTGATGGTGTTTCCTGCTTGGCAGGGGGGTTGGACTCGATGGCCCTTGTGGTCTCTTCCAACTCTATGATTCTATGATTCTAATTAGCTTTGTAAATGCTCTATTTCACAAATACAGTCTTGTGCGGAAGAGGTCAGTATCCCAATGGTAGAAAATCTACTGTATTTTCCCCAATATTTTTAAGGTTTAAAATTGGGGGTCGTCTTATACACGGAATGTTGCCATCCATGATTTCTTCATTTTGGTCTCAAAAAAGAGGGGTCATCTTATACACAGAAAAATACGATACTTCACATGTAGAGAACACCCCAGGATCAACCCCTGGGGGTCTCCAGGTAGGGCTGGAAAGACCGCTATCTGAAATCGCAAGGAACTACCGCTAGTTAGTATGAACAGTATTGACTTAGACGGGCCAATGGTCTGATTGCGGGGAAGGCAACTTCCTAGGTCCCAATCCCACAAAATAACAGTAACAGGGGGGCTCAGTGCAATTACAGCACGTAGAGAATGAACCATCTGCCCAGACGTAGGCCCAGTTCATCATCATCATCATCATCATCATGTTTTTATTTATACCCCGCCCATCTGGCTGGGTTTCCCCAGCACAGATTCAGGCCCAGTTCATTAATAATAATAATAATTTATTATTTCTATCCCAACTGTCTGGCTGGGTTTCCCCAGCCACTCCTGGCGGCTTCCAACAAAAGAGTAAAAATACATTAAAACATCAATAATTAAAAAACTTCCCTAAACAGTTCAGAAGTCAATGACTTCCCATTCGAGGCACACACCCCTTCCTCTCTGGCATGGCCAGGAGACCAGAAGATTCACTTCAAATTTTAAGGAAACCAGTCTGCTGTTAAATCCAACTCAGGAAACGGGGGTTTGTTTATATTACATTATGGTTTGACTCCCTGGTCCTGAATGGGGCAACTGTGCCCCTGAAGGACCAGCTGCGCAGCCTGGGGGTGATCTTGGACCCAAGGAGGCACAGGTCCATTCTGTGTCCAGGGCAGCTCCATCTGGGACGCAGGATGAGACCCTACCTGCCCAGAGTGGCACATGCTCTGGTTATCTCCCGCTTGGACTACTGCCATGCACTCTACATGGGTCTGCCTTGGAAGGTGACCCAAAAACTGCAACTAATTCAGAATGCGGCAGCCAGACTGGGGACTGGGACCGCTGAGACCATATAACACCAGTCTTGAGAGACCTGCACTGGCTCCCCGTACGTTTCCGAGCCCAATTCAAAGTGTATTAAGAGGATGCTGGTGAGGCAGGCTGAACCTTTCTGTAAACAAGGATTTCATTCTTCCCAAAAGGAAACCTTCCTCTGGGGGTCAATGTGAAGAGGATGCCAGTGAGGTTGAACCTTTCTGTAAAATAAAGTCTTACTGAGACCATGAAACACCAGTCCTGAGAGACCTGCATTGGCTCCCAGTACATTTCCAAGCACAATTCAAAGTGTTGGTGCTGACCTTGAAAGCCATCAATGCCCTTGGCCCAGTAGACGTGAAGGAGTGTCTCTACCCTGGATGCCGGGGTCCCTCTTCTGCGAGAAGCGAGGTTACAGGGAACCAGGCAGGGGGCCTTCTCGGTGGTGGTGCCCACCCTGTGGAACACCCTCCCACCAGATGTCAAGGTGATAAGCAACTATCCTACTTTCAAAAGACTTCTGAAGGCAGCCCTGTTTAGGGAAGTTTTTCATGTTTCATGCTGTATTGTGTTTTTAATATTCAACTGGGAGCCGCCCAGAGTGGCTGGGGAAACCCAGTCAGATGGCCGGGGTATAAATAATAAATTATTATTATACTATTGTTGTTGTTATACTGTTGTTGTTGTTTGTTGTTGTTGTTAATAGATGGGTCATTGGTCTGATCCAGCAAGTCTGTTCTTCTATTCTTATGACTGAGAATCAGCCATATTTAGAATCAAAGAACCATTATCACAAATCAAGATAACTAGATCTGACTGTAATTCTCTTCTGCAGGTGGAGGTTAACATGTCCATATGTGGTCATGAAGTATGAACTTGTACAGCCCATGCACAACCTTGCCTGCTGTCTGTGAAATCTAGAAAGTCTCAGGACAGGAGATGTACATAAATCACTTTTAATAGTAAACGGTTGAGGGAATCTGACTCTATGTGAGAAAAGCCTCACACAATACAGCAGAGAATAACTGGGCGTACGGACAGAAGTACGTTGCAAACCGTATGCATGATATGGCTGCTCTCTTTGCCGTGCTACTTTAGACTTTGTGCAATGGCCGGCTGGGGATGCTAGCAGCAGGATCAGAGAATGCAAGGATAAATGTGCAGACAGTGATTTAAAGAAGTCGAATTGTAGCGGAGGGAAGCTGCGGGTGGGTGGGTGGAGTACTATACAACATGTACCGTATTTTTTGCTCCATAGGACGCACTTTTTTCTTCCTAAAAGGAAAGGGGAAATGTCTGTGCGTCTTATGGAGCGAATGCGTGGTCCCTGGAGCTGAATTGCCCAGGGTCAAAAAGCAGATCATGCTCTTTTTTTTGAAAGAGGGAAGTGGGTGTTGAAACAAAGCCGCTGATTGGCAAGTGATCGGGGAGCGAGATAAGGGACGCTAGTGATAAAGGAGGCTGCCTGTGAGGGGGAGGTAAAGACAGCAAACTTGCAAGGAGAGGAGACAGGAAGACTAAAGCAATGAGGAGAGAAATTAGAAGAAAAGGAGGAGCAAAAAACTGCTCCAGCTGAGGAAAAGACACTAAGGCAAACAAGAGAGAAGGGGGTGTTGAAAGGAAGCAGCTGATTGGTAAGCAATAAGGGAAAGACATAAGGGACGTGATAAAGGAGGCTGCCTGGGAGGGGGGATCCTCAGGATTTTTACATTGGGTCACCCCAAATTCACTGTCAGATCACCTAACATGTCCATGGCTACAGCCTGCACCAAAAAAATCACGCACCCACTGTTTTGTGGGGCCGCAATGGTGCAAAAACATGGTTACAAAGCACAGATCCACATGAATCCTCAGGATTTTTGTATTGGGCCACCCCAAATTCACCATCAGATCACATAGCATATCCATGGCTACAGCCTGCACCAAAAAAATCACGCACCCACTGTTGCCTGGGGCCGCAATGGCACAGAAACGTGGTTACAAAGGACGGATCCACAAGGATTCTCGGGATTTTTGCATTGGGCTACCCCAAACTCACTGTCAAATCACATGTCTGTGGCCACAGCATTCACCACAAAAATCATACGTCCACTGTTTCGTTCAGAATATTTTTTTTCTTGTTTTCCTCCTCTAAAAACTAGGTGCGTCTTATGGAGCGAAAAATATTTGTTTTCAATGTTTTTGAACTGTGTTTTTTCTTCTCTCAAATTCATTTCATTTTTTTCTGTTGTTCTATTTTTTCTGTATTATTTAAATAAATATTTTTTTTAAAAAAAGGAAAAGGAAAAAAAAGGAAAGGGGGGAAAAACCGCCACCAATTTTCAGACACCTGACTACTGTCCTTTTCCGTGTAGAAGACACCCCCATGTATAAGATGACCCCTCTTTTTTGAGCCCAAAATGAAGAAATAATGAATGGCAACATTCTGTGTACAAGACTACCCCCAATTTTAAACTTCAAAAATTTGGGGGAAAATATAGTCTTATACACGGAAAAACACAGTACTTAAGTCTTGGGTCAAATGGAAGTGCTTGTGATTGACAGCATGCAAATCCTGATGGGTTAGTATGGAAGAGTAGGTGGCAACAAAAAAGGAATGGCAGGATAAATTATTAGATTATGCTGAATTGGCCAGATTAACAGAGACGATTAGGGGACAATCCAGATAAGAATTCCAAAAAGAATGGGGAAAATGCAGAGAATACTTTCCCAAAAAGTGCCCCAAAATATACACCTGGACTTGTTTCAATTAATTTCTACAGGAGACTTTGTGGTTTTTTAAGTCATAATTAGGAAAAATTGTAATAATCCCATACAAAAGAAATAGTATACAAGAAGTAAATAAGGAGGCCATTTACAGGATAAAGGAAGTCTTTTATTTTTATGTTATCTTTGTGTAAGAGGATAGGAGTTTAATTTTGATAATTAAATTGTCAATGGTGGTGGGTTTGTTTGTATGTATGAGTTGTTGTGGACTATGTTGTAGATAAAGGTAAAGGGACCCCTGACCATTAGATCCAGTCGTGACCGACTCTGGGGTTGCAGCGCTCATCTCGCTTTATTGGCCGAGGGAGCCGGCGTACAGCTTCCAGGTCATGTGGCCAGCATGACTAAGCCGCTTCTGGCAAACCAGAGAAATCAGGGGTAATAATTTGGCTTTCTGAATTCCAGAACTGAGGGGGTCTGCAAAGTGTCTACCATGACTCTTCTGTTCTAACGGAACTTGTCACATCCTGCAACCAATGGGTGGAGATATGCACTGTCCACTGGGTTAACAAAATGAGTCAAAAAAGGGAATTTAAGGCCAAAATATCACGAAGAGGTGTAAAGGTGGAAAAGCATACTAGGTTTTCAGTTTATCAGAGGGAGAAAGCATTCCCCAAGGGGGGGAGGAGAGCAGTGAATCTAATAGAAGGGAGCAAGAGGAACAACAGGGAGGGACCGGCTGTTCCCAGGAAAGGCAGGGTTCAGTTCTAGCTCAGATTGGGAGGAGGGGAGATACAAGCCAGCTCTAGCCAGGAGGGTTAGAAAAAAGAGCGGGAAAGTGAAGGGAAAGGCGCCTTCGCCATTTGGAGAGTGGCTGGTCATGGAGAAGCAGAGCTCAGAAGGTAGCTGAAAGAAGGGACTCTGAGGAATAATAGTTAAGAACTGTTTATAAGAATGTTTTGTTAATACGCAATAAAAAGTTTTATAAAAGAACAAGAAGCGTTTCTGTGGTGATCTGAAGAGGACAACGACCAGTCCTGACAACTATGTTGTTGCTGTTTTGCAAACATACACTCACCCTTGCTGGGAGAATTCAGACGTGCTGCTGAGGATGAAAGGCGCTTATTGATGACAGTTTCTGCTTGCTTAAGGTTTGCTGAGGAGGTAGAGCGCTTGCTGCCTGAAAAAAGGAATTATTACTTTAGCACAGGGTAGATTTAAGTTCTCAAACTGAATCTGTTCCGGAAACCAAAACATTCCAAAACCAAGGTGTGCTTTCCCATAGAAAGGAATGCAAAATATATTACTCCATTGGAGACTTTGAAAAACAACCCCTAACACAGCCATTTCACATGAATTTTGCTATCTGGTCTGCACTCTTTATAAAGATTTGAGGAATGAGATTCTCACCCCTCTTTTATTGTCCACTCCGGGTCACCCAACCACTGCCAGTCTCCTTCCTCTTGGCAGGTCAAGAGGAGCAGAGGACAGCAAAGGCTGCCAGGTTTTGAGCTGGGGCCATCAGAAGATCCACTATTTGGCTGCTGATTGAGGACCCTAAAGTGTCTTTTATACCATCGACTTTTGATTTCTGTTCTTTGTATATTGCATTCCTGTTTTGTTGCTATGGCTGATACAAATAAAGATTCATTCATTCATTCCAACTCTTGAGACACAGGCACAACTCCTAAAAGGATGTCTGCCTGGGACATGCAACTCTGGGGTCTCTGATTCAGTTCATAGAAATAGCAGGGTAGCAGACTGGGTGGGTGAACAGGTAGGCAGGTAAGGAGTTCCTATGGTGGAGGCAGCATCTAGGCTATATTACACCAGACACCAGAGAATATTCCAAGGGGCCATGCCTAAGGTTTTTGTGCAGTGTATACAATAATCTTATGAGCAAGCAGGTCATATGAATTCTTTCGATCTCAAAGAGGAAGTAGCAAGTCAGCTGCATGCAAGCAATTGCCTGGTTAAGAGGAACGCAGCTCTGTGTGGCTTACAGAAGGCCTCTAAGCAACACCGTTCTAGACAGGAAGTTACCGTTGCTTAAATCCAGCTATTGAAGGAGAATGCCAAGGCTAGTGGGGTTAGTTCAAATAATAGCAAGCAGGCAAATAGATACTAGACCCACCTTCATCTGGAATTGGCGACTCTGTGAAATAAAGTTTGTAAACGAAAATCACAACGATGAAACAAGCATGAAAGAATTCACAAGGAAAACATTCAGAAATAAGGGGCAAGGCAGGATTAAGGTTCTTAATCTTAAATAACTGGCACTCTTATTGAACAATCCCATTACAAGATGTAACATTAGTTAAATCCCCAATCTGCGAGTACCTAACAACATAGGAAGCTGTCTTATACTGGGTCAGAGCATTGGGTTCACCTAGGTCAGTACTGCCAACACTGGCTGGCAGAAGATGTTCAGGGATTCAGGCAGAGAACATTCCCAGCTCTACTTGAGATGTGATGTATTGAACCTGGGCTCTTCTAAATAATAATAATAATAATAATAATAATAATAATAATACTGCTACAACTAATAATAATAACATTTCTACCCTGCCCATCTGGCTGGGTTTTCCCAGCCACTCTGGGGGGCTTCCAACAAAATATCAAAATGCAATGATTCATCCAATATCAAAAGCTTCCCTAAACAGGGCTGCCTTCAGATGTCTTCTAAAAGTCAGATGGTTGTTTATTTCCTTGACATCTGACGGGCAGGCGTTCCACAGGGCTGGTGCCACAACCGAGAAGGCCCTCTGCCTGGTTCCCTGTAACTTCGCTTTTCTCAGGGAGGGAACTGCCAGAAGGTCCTCGGGGAGGTGTCCGGGGTGGAGGTGCTGCTTCACGTCTACTGGGCCGAGGCCTTTTAGGGCTTTCAAGGTCAGCACCAACACTTTGAATTGTGCCTGGAAAGGTCTTGGGAGCCAATGTAGGTCTTTCAGGACTGGTGTTATGTGGTCTCGGGCTGTGCAAATGCAAAGCATGTGCTCTGTCACCCCAAGGGCCTGCCACCCTTACAAAGATACTGTTTCAGCCCAGAAGGACATCAAAATGTAGATTAAGGGAGTTTATGCCCCTTTTGATATTAACATTCAATATGAATGCAAAAGACTCAGGTGTTATCAAGCACCGGGAAGCCTCACAAAAACTCGCCTACTCTTCGCTTCATTGTTACACTCCTATGACAAGCAGAATCCGACAGGAGCGCCTTGCTCCAAACAGGACAGGTTTTAACAGTGTGCCACCGGACCCGATTAACTAGTTTTAAGGTAGAAATGTCTCTAGGAGGAGGCACCCACAAGGGAAATGGAAAGCTTGTCTATTTAAAAAGTTCCCCCTCTGCTCAATCATTTTTAGTCATCTGAAGGCAGCCCTGTTTAGGGAAGCTTTGAAGATTGGATGAATCATTGTATTTTAATATTCTGCTGGAAGCTGCCCAGAGTGGCTGGGGAAACCCAGCCAGATGGGCGGGGTATAAATAATAAATTGTTGTTGTTGTTGTTGTCGTCAGGAAAGGGAATTAGCCATGATAGCTAAGTGAATGTCCAGGCTCAAACAGAAAGTTCCTCCGAGTAGCCGTTGTGGGGGTGGTAAACAGCAACGGGTGGCTATTTCCTCCATGCACTAAACTGGGATTCCTGGAAGCAACTGGCAGGCCAATGCCAAAAACAAGATGACTAGATTTATTGTATTTTATTGTATTTTAATAAAGATGGGTGGGGTATAACTAATATATTATTATTATTATTATTATTATTATTAGGGTCATTGGTCTGCTCCAGCAAGTCTGTTCTTCTATTCTTATGACTGAGAATCAGCCATATTTAGGATCAAAGAACCATTATCACTAATCAAAATAACTAGATCTGACTCTGTACTCATTCTCTCCTGCAGGCCAACTTCGAAAATCAAATGTCTAACATGTGGGTAGACAGATTAAGGCCTGGGGGCCGGATCCGGCCCAATCGCCTTCTCAATCCGGCCCATGGACAGTCTGGGAACCAGCGTGTTTTGACATGAGTAGAATGTGTCCTTTTGTTTACCGTATTTTTTCGCTCTATAACACGCACCTGACCATAACACGCACATCGTTTTTAGAGGAGGAAAACAAGGGAAAAAACATTCTGAATGAAACAGTGGATGTATCATTTTTGTGCTTCATGCTGTGGCCACAGACATGTGATCTGATGGTGAATTTGGGGTGACCCAATGCAAAAATCCTGAGAATTCCTGTGGATCCATGCTTTGTAACCACGTTTTTGCACCATTGCAGCCCCAGGCAACAGTGGGTGCGTGCTTTTTTTTGGTGCAGGCTGTAGTCATGGACATGCTATGTGATCTGATGGTGAATTTGGGGTGACCCAATGCAAAGATCCTGAGAATCCCTGTGGATCCATGCTTTGTAACCACATTTTTGCACCATTGCAGCCCCAGGCAACAGTGGGTGCGTGCTTTTTTTGGTGCAGGCTGTAGTCATGGACATGCTATGTGATCTGATGGTGAATTTGGGGTGACCCAATGCAAAAATCCTGAGAATCCCTGTCGATCCATGCTTTGTAACCACGTTTTTGCACCAGCAGCCCCAGGCAACGAAACAGAGAAGGGTGGGCAGTAAGACCCTGAGGCAGAATGCAGGAAAGCAGCCACTTCCTCTTTTCAGGTTTCCCTTCTCCGTGACTCGCCATTTGACTTTTGCTTGATTTTTTGGCTCCAGGGACCACACATTCGCTCTATAACACGCACAGACATTTCCCCTTCCTTTTTAGGAGAAAAAATCTGCGTGTTATAGAGGGAAAAATACGGTATTTAAAATGCATCTCTGGAGGGAGGGTGGACTGGCCCCCTGCTGGAAAAGTTTGCTGACTCCTGGTCCAACAAGTATCTGCAAGATAACTGACATAGGAAAGCTACTGTGCTTTCTGTAGAAAGAGCCAGTTTAAACAGGCCACATTTACTGAACCCTTCACCTTTACTTTTAAATCAAACCACACTTCATTCCCATGCTCAGTTTTTCATACATCCAAAGCTGCCTTACAGGGAGCCAGACTCGTGGTCTAAACTGGCCCAGCACTGACTACTCTGGCCGGCAGCGTTTAAAAGACTGTCTCAAAGCAAATCAACAAGCATAAAGCAAAAGAGGTTGAAAGATCTCAAGGCAAATCTAAAAAAAAGTAGGATAAACACCGACAACTGGGAAACACCGGCCTGCGAGCGCTCCAATTGGAGAACAGCCTTGACCAAATGTGTCCTGGGCTTTGAAGACACTCAAACTCAGGATGCGAGGGAGAAACGGGTGAAGAGGAAGGCACGCTGGGCAAATCCACACCGGGATCAACTCCTGCCTGGAATCCAATGTCCCTGCTGCTGAAGGATGTGTGAGTCCAGAATTGACCTCTGCAATCCCACAAAAGGGATTGCCAAAGAAGAGAAGAAGAAAAAGAGGGGGAAGAAAAGGAGGAGCAGGTGGAGGAGCAGGAGGAGGCGAAAAGAAGAGGAAGAGAAGAGAAGAGATGAAGGAGGAGAAGGTGGAGGAGGAGGAGGAGGAGGAGGAGGAGAGAAGAAGAAGAAGAAGAAGAAGAAGAAGAAGAAGAAGAAGAAGAAGAAGAAAAGAGGAGGAGGAGGAGAAAAGAGGAAGAGGAAAAGGAGGAGGAGAGATGGAGGAGGAGGAGGAGGAGGAAGAGAAGAGGAGGAGGAGGAAAAAAGAAGAGGAAGAGAAGGAGGAGGAGGAGGAAAAGAGGAAGAGGAGGAGGAGGAGGAGAAGAGACGGAGGAGGAAAACAGGAAGAAGAAGAGAGGAGGAGGAAAAGAGGAGGAGGAGAAGAAAAGAAGAAGAGGAAGAGAAGATGTGGAGGAGGAGGAAAAGAGGAAGAGGAGGAGTAGGAGAAGTGGAGGAGGAGGAGAGACAGAGGAGGAAAACGGGAAAAAGAAGAAGAGGAGGAGGAGAGGGGAAGAAGAGGAGGAGAGATGGAGGAGGAGGAGGAAAAGAGGAGGAGAAGAAGAGAAGAGGAAGAGAAGAAGAGGATGAGGAAGAGGAAAAGAGGAGGAGAAAAGAAGAAGAGAAGAAGAGGAGGAGGAGAGAAGAAGAGGAGGAGGAGCAGGAGGAGGAGAAGAAGAGGAGGAAGAGAAGGAGGAAAAAGAGGAAGAGGAGGAGGAGGAGAGGCGAAAGAGGAGGAAAAGAGGAAGAAGAAGAGGAGGAGGAGGAGGGAAGAAGGAGGAGAGGAAGAAGAAGAATTCTCTGGCTGGCAGCATCTCTCCAGGCCAACAGAAAGGTAGCCCCAGACACCTACCTGGCTTGCCGTCTGAATCAGTCACAGAGCCGCCCCAGGACCATCTCTTCTGTCGAGTTTCCAGCCGCTGGCTCCGCTCCAGGGTGCGATGCAGCACCGCCTCATAGCGCTCCTATTGATCAAAAAATCTCTGGAGTTAGGCAGCGGAAACTGTGAGCGCGTCACTCTGAAAAATTATTATGATGAATTCATACATAATATATGACAAATATAAACAGAAAATACAATTATGAGGTTAAAAATGAGAAGAAGAGACAAATGTTCCAACCTTAATTTTAACAGATAAGGAATACAAAAATTTAAGCAGATGAAACAGAGATGTTATAAATCAGAAAGGGAAGTTGGGGAAAGTCATGGTGGGGGGTGGTTCACTGAAATTGTAAAATGTAATTTGAATTTGATTATGTTAAAATTTATTTAATGAAGTCATTAGATAGATAGATAGATAGATAGATAGATAGATAGATAGATATAGATGATAGATAAGATATTGTTATAGATATAAAATATATGTAATAATAATAATAATAATAATAATAATAATAATAATAATAATAATTTATTTATACTCCACCCATATGGCCGGGTTCCCCCAGCCACTCTGGGTGGCTCCCAATTGAATATCAAAAACACAATACAACATTAAACGTTTAAAAATTCCCTAAACAGGGTAAGAATCCCTCTGCAGAGGAGTTTTAACAGGGTGGATAAAAATCAATGATTAAAAAAATTAAAAATTGGATTTTTAAAAAATTTAAATCAGATTTTTTTAAAATTTAAAATATTAAGCTTAAGCAGACAAGCTTAAATATTCTTTAAGCTTGTTTGTTTCCACGCTCAAATAAAGAATATTTGAAAAACTACTATGATAGCAGAAATCTCCTGGCAGACCTTGAATGATTCTTGTAATGTATAGATAATAAACTAAATAATTTTTCTCTGAAGAAAATTAAGGAAACAAAGTAAAAGAACATGATAGTGTGTAAAAAATAACAAATGAGATTCAGTTTTTTGAGAACAATCGGAAGTTTATCTTTCTTATCTTTCTTCTTTATTTTCTTTTTTCTGTGTAGTGTACATGCATAAATTGTAATATGGTAAATTGTTGTGTAAATACGTGTTGAATGTTCAATAAAGATATTGATATATATCTATATATATCTATATATATTATATAGAAACAAACATAATATAGGATTTTAATGGCTTGGTATAATTTTTTTGAAAAAAATAGAGGATTTGGGTAAAGGGGAATGATATTATTCTTAGAAATTAGAAATATTCTTTCTAATATTTTCTCATTCTGAATATTTTAAACTAATCTTGTTTAAAATAGGCAGAAGGATAAAAGATTAGAAAGAATCAGAAGGGGAAGTTGGGCTGGCAGAAAGGGAAATATGTTTATTTCTTTCTGTGATTTATGTTATGTTGATTAAATTGTCAAACCCAATACACATACACACACACACAAAAGCAAAACATCTTCCAAATTCACTAGTTGTGAACTGAATCAGTCCGAATGGAATGATTAACGGAGCGTTGTAACTGCAACCACTTCTAGATATTTTAAGGGATGCAATGACCAACCTGTTAATATGAAAAAACACTGTTCTAAGGATAACATATTGATATGCATAGAATAAGCATGTCAAGATATTCGAAACTAAGGCAAAATTAATACAGTGGTACCTCGGGTTACATACGCTTCAGGTTACATACGCTTCAGGTTACAGACTCTGCTAACCCAGTAATAGTGCTTCAGGATGAGAACAGAAATCGTGCTCTGGCGGCGCGGCAGCAGCAGGAGGCCCCATTAGCTAAAGTGGTGCTTCAGGTTAAGAACAGTTTCAGGTTAAGAACAGAACTCCGGAACAAATTAAGTACTTAACCCGAGGTACCACTGTAATGGCTTTACATTGATTCCTACAAGACACAATGTTAAAGCATTTATAACATACAAGATGTCGGGTTGCGGTGGAGGGAAGCCACAAGGATGTCTCATAGAATCATAGAGTTGGAAGAGACCACAAGGGCCATCGAGTCCAACCCCCTGCCAAGCAGGAAACACCATCAGAGCACTCCTGACATATGGTTGTCAAGCCTCTGCTTAAAGACCTCCAAAGAAGGAGACTCCACCACACTCCTTGGCAGCAAATTCCACTGTCAAACAGCTCTTACTGTCAGGAAGTTCTTCCTAATGTTTAGGTGGAATCTTCTTTCTTGTAGTTTGGATCCATTGCTCCGTGTCCGCTTCTCTGGAGCAGCAGAAAACAACCTTTCTCCCTCCTCTATATGACATCCTTTTATATATTTGAACATGGCTATCATATCACCCCTTAACCTCCTCTTCTCCAGGCTTAACATGCCCAGCTCCCTTAGCCGTTCCTCATAAGGCATCGTTTCCAGGCCTTTGACCATTTTGTGTTTTTTTTTAAAAAAGATATTTATTAACGTTTTGAACAGTAAAACAAACTTCACAGTCGAGACAAGAAAAGAAAAAAAAAGAAAAACACCATCACAGTCAAGCAAAAAACAGAAAAATACAGAACACACAAAACAAATTAAAGAAAAAAGACATTAAAAAAAGATTAAAAAACCAATTTCTTACTTATTGTTTTCTTAACCCTCCTTCCAGACTCCCTCACATCTCCCTTTTCTGTGTTCCCTTTTACACAATCTTATTCAGCAGTGCCTCCCCCTCTTTCAAATCTTATTTTGTATTATACATTTCAACTATTATGTCTCCAATTTTTCCCTTTATATCAATTTGTTTAAATTTGACATAATATTATTCTAGCTTCACCCTTAGTCTTATGAAACATTTTTTACATATTCCTTTCAACTATGTCACTAATGCCATATTATCTTTATATCTTGCATCATTTTAACATTCATACATTTTGCAATGCTTTTGCAGGTAGTCTTTAAATTTCTTCCAGTCCTCCTCCACTAACTCTTCTCCTAGGTCTCGGATTCTGCCAGTCATTTCTGCCAGTTCCATGTAGTCTATCAATTGCGTCTGCCATTCTTCCAGAGTGGGCAAATCCTTGTGTCTTCCAGTGCTTTTGCGATGAGTATTCTTGCTGCTGTTGTTGCGTACATAAAGAAAGTTCTGTCCTTCTTTAGCACCCCTTGGCCAACAATGCCCAAAAGGAAGGCCTCTGGTTTCTTAGGGAAGGTATATTTAAATACCTTTTTCAGTTCATTATAGATCATTTCCCAGAAAGCTTTAACCTTTGGGCACGTCTACCAAAGGTGAAAGAATGTTCCCTCAGTTTCTTTAAATTTCCAACACTTATTATCTGGCAAATGGTATATTTTTGCAAGCTTGACTGGGGTCATGTACCACCTGTATATCATTTTCATAATATTTTCTTTTAAGGCATTACATGCCGTAAATTTCACACCAGTGGTCCATAACCGTTCCCAGTCAGCAAACATAATATTGTAACCAATGTCTTGCGCCCATTTTATCATAGCTGATTTGACCGTTTCATCCTGAGTGTTCCATTTTAACAGCAAGTTATACATTCTTGAAAGTACCTTAGTTTTAGGTTCTAACAATTCTGTTTCTAATTTCGATTTTTCCACCTGGAAACCTGTTTTTTTGTCCATATTAAAGACCTCTCTAATTTGACGATAATGTAACCAATCTTGTCTTTTAGTTTCTCAAAACTCTGCAATCTCCATGTGTCTCCATCTTTTTCTAATATCTCCCAATATTTTGGCCACTTGGCCTCCATATTGAGTCTTTTCTGAGCCTTAGCTTCCATTGGTGACAACCACCTTGGGGTCTTATTTTCTAATAAATCCTTGTATCTTGTCCAGACATTAAACACTGCTTTCCTGACAATATGGTTCTTAAATGCTTTATGAGCCTTAACCTTGTCGTACCACAGATATGCAAGCCACCCAAACGCATTGTTGAACCCTTCCAAATCCAAAATGTCATTGTTTTCAAGAAGTAGCCAGTCTTTCAACCAGCAGAATGCTGCTGATTCATAGTACAACTTCATGTCTGGCAGGGCAAATCCCCCCCTTTCTGTAGCATCAGTCAATATTTTGAATTTTATTCTGGGCTTTTTGCCCTGCCAGACAAATTTAGAGATATCTCTCTGCCACCTCTTGAAACAATCCATCTTGTCCACAATCTGCAAAGTCTGAAACAAAAACAGCATTTTTGGCAATACATTCATCTTTATAGCAGCAATTCGACCCAACAAGGAAAGCTTCAGTTTTGACCAAATCAGGCCTTTGACCATTTTGGTTGCCCTCCTCTGGACACGTTCCAGTTTGTCAGTGTCCTTCTTGAACTATGGTGCCCAGAACTGGACACAGTACTCCAGGTGAGGTCTGACCAGAGCAGAATACAGTGGCACTATTACTTCCCTTGATCTAGATGCTATACTCCTATTGATGCAGCCCAGAACTGCATTGGCTTTTTTAGCTGCCGCGTCACACTGTTGGCTCATGTCAAGTTGGTGGTCAACCAAGACTCCTAGATCCTTTTCACATGTACTGCTCTCAAGCCAGGTGTCCCCCATCTTGTATTTGTGCCTCTCATTTTTTTTGCTCAAGTGCAATACTTTACATTTCTCCCTGTTAAAGTTCATCTTGTTTGTTTTGGCCCAGTTCTCTAATCTGTCAAGGTCGTTTTGAAGTGTGATCCTGTCCTCTGGGGTGTTAGCCACCCCTCCCAGTTTGGTGTCATCTGCAAATTTGATCAGGATGCCCTTGAGTCCATCATCCAAGTCGTTGATAAAGATGTCGAATAAGACCGGGCCCAAGACAGAACCCTGTGGCACCCCACTAGTCACTCTTCTCCAGGATGAAGAGGAACCATTGATGAGCACCCTTTGGGTTCGGTCAGTCAGCCAGTTACAAATCCACTGAGTGGTTTTTGTTTTTCGTATTTCTTTCTTGTTTTTTTTCTTGATTAATTTTATATACACACACACACACACACACACGAAATGCAATGAAGGGATGATTGTGGGCATTGTGACCCCTTCCAAGTTGTCCCTTATGCCAGGGACATTCGACTCCCAAGAGACTGTGCTCCACTTCCGGGGGTGGGGGGTGGGGAGACTGGCAGTGATCTACCCATTTTTTAGGGGGGTGTTCAGAGTTGACAAGCGTTTATTTAGGGGGGCAGACCAAAGTTGTTGAGTTTTTGGGGGGGGCAGGTCAAGGTTGTTGAACTTTTCTTAAGGGGGCAGGTCAAAGAAAGCTTTTTAAGTATGTGATGGGAATGCAAGAATATAAGAGAATTTTGGGACATTACCGTATTTCCCCGTGTATAAGACTAGGTTTTCCCCCTAAAAAATAATGTCAAAAATTAGGGGGCATCTTATATGTCAGGGAAGAGTTAGAAGTTTCCAGTTTCTCAGAGGGAGAAAGCATTCGACAAGGGGGGAAGGAGAGCAGTGAATCTAATAGAAGAGAACAAGAGGAACAACAGGGAGGGACTGGCTGTTCCCAGGAAAGGCAAGGGTTCAGTTCTAGCTCAGATTCGGAGGAGGGGAGATACAAGCCAGCTCTAGCCAGGAGGGTAGGAAAAAGAGCGGGAAAGCGAAGGGAAGGGCGCGTTCGACATTTTGAGAATGGCTGGTCACGGAGAAGCAGAGCTCAGAAGGTATCTGAAATAAGTGACTCTGAGGAAGAATAGTTAAAGATTCTTGTTTAAAAGTTTGTTTGTTAATACACAATAATACACAATAAAAAGTTATAAAAGAACAAGAAGCGTTTGTGTGGTGATCTGAAGAGGACAACGACCAGTCCTGACAGAATATACGGGGACATCTCCCCCCATTTTCTTAAATCTGAGTCCCCCCCAAATAAGGGGCATCTTATACATGGGATGTCTTATAGATGAAAAAAATACGGTATATATAATGATTTTTTTTTAATACTCACATTCCCATTTACAAAAAAAATGGAGAACAGACTTGCTCGATCAGACCAATGGCCCATCTAGTCATCTTGTTCTGGGCACTGGGCAGCCAGTTGCTTCTGGGAATCCCAGTTTAGTGCAAGGAGGAAATAGTCACAATATATATATATAAATAAACTGAAAAAGATACTCAAATTCCCATTTACAATAAAACCGGAGGCCCTCCTATTAGGAATCATGCCAACAGAAATTAAGAAAAAGATTAGACCACTCTTCATGTATGCACCGACAGCTGCCAGAATTTGAGTGGTGAGGAATTGGAAAAGTGAAAATATTCCCACAAAAACCAATTGGCAGGCCCAAATGGTAGAATATATACAACTGGCAAAAATGACAGGGAGACTTCGAGGATACTCGACATAGAAGGTGAATAAAGAATGGGTAGTATTGAAAGAATATTTGAATACTGATGGGGATAACAAAAAACTTCTGGCAGACATAGATTAACTCTTGTAACTGAAAGGTGACAAATAAAAGGACCTTTTGATAAGAACTAAGAAATCGCAAAAAGACACTGTGTGTAAAATTACAAATTGAAATATGGTATAATGAGAATAAGCAGAAGTCTGTTTTACTGATTTCATCCTTGATCCGTATTTTAATATTCTTTTGGAAGTCGCCCAGAGTGGTTGGGAAAACCCAGCCAGATGGGTGGGGGAGAAATGATATATTATTATTACTATTATTACTATTCTTATTCTATTTTTTCCTTTTCCTTTTTTTCCTTTCTTAGCAAAGTTTGTATATGGAGTTTGTACATGGAGTTTGTCAGGACTGGTCGTTGTCCTCTTCAGATCACCACCGAAACGCTTCTTGTTCTTTTATAAAACTTTTTATTGCGTATTAACAAAACATTCTTATAAACAGTTCTTAACTCTTCTTCCTCAGAGTCCCTTCTTTTCAGCTACCTTCTGAGCTCTGCTTCTCCATGACCAGCCACTCTCCAAATGGCGAAGGCGCCTTTCCCTTCGCTTTCCCGCTCTTTTTCCTACCCTCCTGGCTAGAGCTGGCTTGTCTCTCCCCTCCTCCCAATCTGAGCTAGAACTGAACCCTGGCCTTTCCTGGGAACAGCCGGTCCCTCCCTCTTGTTCCTCTTGCTCCCTTCTATTAGATTCACTGCTCTTCTCCCCCCCTTGGGGAATGCTTTCTGCCTCTGAGAAACTGGAAACCTCTAACTCTTCCCTGACAGAGTTTGTATACAGGTTACATTGTTTATTTTTATGTATGTAATGTTTGAATGTTTAATAAAGATTTTTAAAAATTAAAACAGAAATAAAACGGAAAGTGTGAGAAATTGCAATAAATTGCGGGCAGCCGGTTGGACATCCCTGCCTTATACTCTAAAAGACGATTAAGACAGCTATAACTAGTGCCACTATCATAGTGTCTCTCTAATGCAGGCATGGCCCAACCTGGCCCTCCAGCTGTTTTGAGACTACAACTGGAGGGCCAAGTTTGGCCAGCTCTACAATACCTTGTCCTCCTCCAGCTTCTGTTTCCGCTTTTCCTCTACTGCTACTCTCCTTTGTTGCTCCTTCAACTTCTGTTCCTTCAGTCGTCTCTGCCTCTCCTCCATTTGCTTCTCATACTGTAGCTTGGCCTTCTTCTCCTTTTCCAATATCTGAGTTTCTTTGGCAGCTGCAAATTTCAACCAGGGTGGATAAAAATCAATGATTAAAAAAAATTTTTTTTTAAAATCAGATTTTAAAAATTTAAATCAATTTTTTAAAATTTAAATCGGATTTTTTGATTTAAATCAGATTTTTTTAAATTTAAATCAGATTTTTTAAAAAATGTAAATCAGATTTTTAAAATAAAATGCTTTTGGAGGAAAAATCTTTCTAAAGATTTTCTATTTAAGTGACATTCTAGTTCAAAGGCAATTATTCATCAGGAAATAAGGATTTCTTTTAAGTTTTTAATGTGTGCTAAAACTAAGACTTTTTAAAAAAATTTGTTTAAACACATCAGTTAACAAACATAGATGCCATGATGCTATTGTTTTAGGTAAATAAATTGTTTAAATGGTTATGAAGGGAATGCGTCTTTTTCTCCTTCCAATCGAGTATAGCAGAAAAGCTGTCCAAATAGAAGCAGTTAATTTATTAAACTTCACCATCATTTCATCATTATCTGTCAATGTATTTCTAAGATTAGAACCAAATCAGTCATGTTTGATAGAACTGTCAAACCACTCTGAAAATTTATTCTTCAAAAATGAAACCTTCCTCTGCTTGTCCAGATTAAGAGGATGCCAGCAAGGCTGAACCTTTCTGTAAAATAAATTGATTTGAATCAAGTATTACTGACTAGTGATTTAGATCGATTTGATTGAAATCAGATCCACCCTGTCTGCCACACAAATGCAACAGGCTGCATTTTTTATCCATACTTTTAAATATATGCCTACCTTGCTGCTTCTCGCGCTCCTCTCTCCGTTCCCTGGCCAGCCTTTGTCTCTCTTCTGTTCTCAAAGTGGAACCATCGATCACTGGAAAGGACGGCAAAGTTGAACTGGTTACAGGGCTGAGATTTCTGGAGGAACAAGTGACCAATGGGCGCAATTTTCTTTTCCCAGGAGTGCAACTCCAGCCTGATGTGCAGGGATGCTGGTTAACATCAGAATTAGGGTGGTTCATAAAAAGCTCTTTTTTGAAGATGCCTGCTCCAAAGTTCTTATCTTACTACACTAAGGGTTATACAGCTATATCTGAAATTTCGTGCATATCGTTAATAACTTTTTAAAAAAATTTAAATACTTTATTTACAACATAGCCCACAAAAACTTGTACATACAAACCCACCACCGTTGACAATTTAATTATCAAAATTAAACTTCTATCCCCTTACACAAAGAAAACATAACATAAAAATAAAAGACTTCCTTTATCCTATTTACTTCTTGTATACTGTTTCTTTTATATGTGATTATTACCATTTTTCCTAATTATGACTTAAAAAACCACAAAGTCTCCTGTAGAAATTAATCAAAACAAGTCCAGGTGTATATTTGAAATATACAAAATGTATCAGTTAATATCTTGACCCTGCTCCGCTGAATTGACATTTCAGCCTTCACGACATAGGAAAATGGCCAAGTAAACAGCTATTTTCATGGAGGAGGGTCAAGATATTAACTGATATGTATGAAATTTCAGATAAAGGTACCCCTGGCCGTATGGGCCAGTCGTGTCCGACTCTAGGGTTGCGCGCTCATCTGGCTCAAGAGGCCGTGAGCCAGCGCTGTCCGAAGACACTTCCAGGTCACGTGGCCAGCGTGACGAAGCTGCATCTGGCGAGCCAGCACCAGTGCCGCACACGGAAACGCTGTTTACCTTCCCGCTATAAAGCGGTACCTATTTATCTACTTGCACTTAGGGGTGCTTTCGAACTGCTAGGTGGGCAGGAGCTGGGACCGAACGACAGGAGCTCACCCTGCCGCGGGGATTCGAACCACCGACCTTATGATCAGCAAGTCCTAGGCACTGAGGTTTTATCCACAGCGCCACCCGCATCAGATATAGTCATATAATTCCTAGTGTAGTAAGATAAGACCTTTGAGCAAGCATTTTCAAAATAGAGTTTTTTAATGAACCGTCCTACTGAACACCCAATGCTTTTCAGTGGAGCAGGGTCAAGATATTAACTCAGGCATGGCCAAATGTGTCCCTCCAGCTGTTTGGGGACTACAATTCCCATTATCCCTGAGCACTGGTCCTGTTAGCTAGGGATGATGTCCCCAAACAGCTGGAGGGGCAAGTTGGGCCATGTCTGGTAGAGGTAAGACTGGCAACAAAGTATAAAGAGAAGCGTTGGAAGTCGAATATTTGTGGTGTTTCACGTAGTATTTGTAGGTGTGTTGGGTATGTATTATATGTAATGTATGTAATGTAATGTATTGTATCATATTTGTTAAGCAGTATGTAAACTGATGTATAATAAAGATTATTTTAAGAGAAAAGTAAATGCCCTGGTGCAGGGGCCAGCAAACCTTTTCAGCAGGGGGCCGGTCCACTGTCTCTCAGACCTTGTGGGGGCCGGACTAGATTTTGGAGGAAAAAATTGAACGAATTCCTATGCCCCACAAAAAAAGAGATGCATTTTAAATCAAAGCACACATTCTACTCATGTAAAAACACGCTGATTCCTGGACCATCTGCGGGCTGGATTGAGAAGGCCACTGGGCTGGATCCGGCCCCCAGGCCTTAGGTTGCTTATCCATGTGGTCATTTCCTGCTTTGCAAAACAAAAACAGCATCTTCACTGGCCCAAGTAGACCAATTCCTACCGAGCTTTTGAAATATGTCAAAATGGGACTCTTTTGAGAAGGAGAATATGCAACTTAAAAAGTAGCAGCACAGATTCATGAACTAAAAAGCGGAAGGATGCGAAGAGCCACAACCAAGGTAGCCACACAGGAATGGATTTTATTATTATTATTATTATTATTATTATTATTAAAGCAATAATTTTACCTGGCCTGGTTGAAGATTTCATACCAGCTGGAGATTGGAGTGGAACAGGACTAGCACCACTTTGGCTTCTTCTTTCTTCTGCTAACACCTGGGCTGCAGCGACTGTAAAAGAGACCACAATCACAGTTATTACAGCGAAAATCCACAATGTATTTCCAGCGGCAGGCTTCATGCAAGACTTGCTGGTATGTCTCATCATTTTTTAAAATTTCTTCGTATATCATGTCAAAAAAACCAGAATTATTTTTATGAGGAATTTTCACAATGGACATTACAAAGGACAATAAAAAGAGTCTTTCTATATGTGACTGGGGCCGCCAGGATCATGATTACAAAACCCTGGAAAAACAACATATTGCCGACAAAAGAAGAATAGCTCTTAAAACTTAGCGAGTATCTAGAACTAGCTCAACTTACAGAATCAATAAGAAATCACTCAAATGTGAGAATAAAGAGAGAATGGGTTGTTTTTATAAACTACATGAAAAAAGGTGGTTCTCAGTACTTCTCTTGGCTTGGCGTAGCCTAAAATACCACAGGCAATCCATAGACTTACTAAGAGAAAACAGACAAACAAAATATGATTTATTAGGAACCGCTGGTGGATGGGGAAGGAAGTCAAGATACGAATTAGGGAGTCGAGCCTGAAGTCATAAGAGGAAATGTTATAATTATAAAAACCTGTAAGAAATAACTAATAGGAGAAAGGATGGCTTGTATTCCTTACAAAGAAGTTTATTGGATACTGTTTCATTTCTAGTTTCTTTTTCTTTCATTTTTCTTTTTTTCTATCTTTCCTTCTTTTGTCCCCGATTTCGGCCCTCACTCGAACTCAGCACTGTGGAAGGGAGGGAAGGAGGAAGAAGGAAAAGCATTTCCCCTCTCCATGACAACTGTTCTGTCATGGCAATAATCCTCCCCAGGCTGCACCAAAAACAATCACCTCCAAGTACTTTAATAAAAAATGATTTAAATCAAGTCTTACAGACTCGTGATTGAAATCAAATCCACCCTGCTATGGATATTTACATCATGCTTTATAGAATAACAAGCGCCGAACTGCCGATCTCCTTGTGCAAGATACCAAATAACTGCAACAGGCTTTATATTGACAACACAATGATAAAAAAGACCCCTCTGAACTAATTCCTCCCCCAGCACAAGGATCTTAACTCATCATTATCTAAGTGTGGCGCATGGCATTATCCTGGCTGCATCCCTCTCCCCTTGAACAAATGCCATTGTCACAACACTTGCTTCAAGGGGGACGCAGTTAATAATAATAATAATAATAATAATAATAATAATAATAATAATAATAATTTCTACCCTGCCCATCTGGCTGGGTTTCCCCAGCCACTCTAGGCGGCTTCCAACAAGAGGCGGCTTCCAACAAGAGATTAAAAATACATTAAAACATCACTGGTAAGAAATCAGACCCTCTCGACACTCAATTTGTCTCACTGACCTGGAGTAAGAAGACAGCATATTCACAGACTGACATTAAAATTAATGGAAATTAATTCAAGAACACAGAGGCCAAATATAGATCTAATATTCTGTGTGCCCTGCATATAGACTAGTATTCTAAAACAGATGTTGATCTCTTCCTGTTTTCATGCTCCCCCACCTCACTGCATTGAGAAATTATGCTTCCTTTTCATGTTTTTGTTTTTCCTTACTTGCTCTCAACGCAGGGAAGTAGACTAGTTTCCTCTTCCCCTCTTCCCCGCCCCTTTATGTGAGGAAATTGCCTTCCCTCTCAGTGGGAACTTTCCCCCCTGTATGTGTTGTTTGTCAAGTTCACAGGCATTATCAATACACCCCATTAATACACCCCAGAAATCAATTAAGAAGAAGAAGAAGAAGAAGAAGAAGAAGAAGAAGAAGAAGAAGAAGAAGAAGTTGTTATTTATACCCCACCCATCTGGCTGGGGTTCTCCAGCCGCTCTGGGCGGCTTCCAACAAAAGATTAAAATACAATAATATTAATAATAATAATAAATATTAAAAGCTTCCCTAAACATTTGGACTCTCTCCTAGTGTCATGACTGCAGTCCAAATGGGAGACTCCCCCAGCTTCTTGGAATAAAAGAAAAAGACCCTTGGAGATCCATTAACAGATGTCCTGTTTCAGGTCGAGTTTTTGGGTCTCGGTTCTGACTGTATTTGAAATTACTGGTAAAATGTCAGTTCATATGTAAGAAGTCTGAGGCTGTTTCATTCAGAAGGTGTGACAGTAGAACTGTTCCGTTTTAGTATAACATGTGGAGTAGAGAAAATCTTTATAATTTCAGACTTGCCAACCTAAATTATACAGTAATTCCAAGTAGGATCATTCCACATCAAATTGACGCAAAAAACCCCAAGGGTTTCATCACCTGCCATATCAGATTTGAACGAAGCTTGGTGTACTCCCTTCCCTTACAGTTGAAAGACACCCCCTTAATTCCTCCCCCCATCTCAAACGGTTTTAATTTTAGTAAGATTAAAAATGCATGAAAACATCCGTTCGAAACTTCCCGAGACAATAGACCCTAGCGCTGCAAATCACAACGGATTCCCAGTCCAACTTTGAAATAACTTGCGTCTCCAAAAGACACAATGATGTCTCTATCATGCAAGTGGAAAAAAGCATTGCTATTGTATTTAGACCCCCCGAGCTTCTTCCTTCATAAGAGAGTTTGCATTCTTCCTCTGCCCATGCATTCATGTTCGTGGTACCACTTCGCTCGACTCTACAGCACTGCCAAGTCTGTAAGGTTCAGATAGTTAACAAATATGCCATCACTAATACGGAAAGGCTGCAGAAAGTCCCAGGCTCAAACATCCAATATCTCCACACAAGGCTGCCTGAAACCCTGGAGATTTTCATCGGCAATACTGCATTGGATTGACCAATAGGTCTGACTCAGGATAAGGCAGTTCCTATGCTCACTATAACTCAGTGGTGTCCAAACCTTTTTCAAAGACGGCCGGATTTGATGAAGTGAAGGACTGTGAGGGCCAACCAAAGCTGTTGAGCTTTTTTTAGGACTTTGGACATGCCTGCTATAACTAATGCCAGTGTACTGAAATAAGCAAAGACTGTCAGTGTCAAAGCGACAATCAACTTTGAACCGGTCATGTTGCCTTCCAAGAAACGACTCTCTTTCAAACTTAAAAATGGAAAGTGTAACGCTGGTGGACCACAAAAGAGGTTGAAAGATCTCAAGGCAAATTTTAAAAATGTAGTATAAACACCAACAACTGGGAAACACTGGCCTGCGAGAGCTCCAGTTGGAGAACAGCCTTGACCAAAAGCGTCCTGGGCTTTGGAGACACTCAAACTTAGGACGCAAGGGAGAAACGGGTGAAGAGGAAGAACCTTCACCGGGATCAACTCCCGCCCAGAAACCCCACTGTGGAAGGACGTGTGGATCCGGAATTGGCCTCCACTGTCACTTATGGGCTCACTGCTAAAATCCGTGTTGATGGAAGACAATCTGACTCAGCTATGAGGGATTGCCAAAGAAGAAGAAGAAGGCGACGACGTTAGGCTTCCATTTTCAGATAATTTTTAATGCAGGGAAGCCCACAAAAGGGCTGTCTTCCTGTCCAAAATGGCACAATTCATAATGTGACCTCCTGTATGAGATATACACCTATCCTTATTTTGGGGTTGTGAGAGGCTAGCCACCCACCCACCTCCACAACTAAACAATTTGCTTTCTGTGTGATCAATGAAGAGGGGGGCTTGCCTGTCAGGAGATCAGGCCAGGAAGCTGTTTTAAATATCCACTTCTTTTTAAATTCCAGGGTACCAGTATGCCTCGATATATCATAGGTACAAGGGAGGGCGTTTGTGGAAAAAATGTTGCACTAGTAAGTTTTGTGCTAAGACTGAGACAAAAGATACCCTTGATTCAGTAGCAGACATACTGTATTTTTCCATGCATAAGACTATATCCCCCCACCAATTAAGTTTTAAATTGGGGGTCGTCTTATACACGGAATGTTACAATTAATTATTTCTGAATTTGGGGCTCAAAGGATAGGGGTCACCTTAGACATGGGGGCATCTTGTACATGGAAAAATACGGTAATTTGTTTGGAAAACTCCAAAAGACTTTTTTCCCTCTCCAGCAAACCGATCAGCTGGTCTGCTAAAGACAGAGAAAACTGTCAATTTCATTGTTGCTCGCAGATTTCAGTGTCTCAGCTGTGGATCTGCCAGTTTCATTGTGCTGACTATTTGGCGGGGGGCGGGGGCGGGAATAGGAGTAGACTGTGACTGGTACCAGGATCACCCACAAACTGAAAATAATACATGATGTACATTAAAATGACAACTAAAGATCTTGTAGCGCCTTAGATACTAACATGCTTGCGGTTTGCTCAGCTAACTTCTTGTGAACTGACTCTGAAGCTGCTGGAAAACTAATACTGTAAAAAGGCGATATTTAAATCAATAAATTTCACAAGCACGCGCGCACACACACACACACACACACACACGCTAAAAAGAGGCAGAACCAGTGAGCATCTGTCTAGGATGGAGGGAAATCAGAAAAAGGGTAGAAGAGAATGACCCAACTGAGGAGGGAGAGGACCAAGACAAAACGGAGGAGCCAGGTTGAAGAAGTATCAGGAAACAGGGCTTTAAAAGTCATCTTTGTTTCTTCAGCTTGCAAAGCGCCTTGAGTAATGTAAGATAGAAAGACGGTATACAAATTAAAAGTGATGATGATGATCTTAAGGGGCAATAGGGCGGTTCATAAATTTTTTTAAATGAAAATGCCTGCTCCAAAGGTTTTATCTTACTACACTAGGGATTATATAGCTGTATCTGAATTTTTTGCATATCACGGGAAGGGGGGGGGTTACGAGGTGTCTTGCGAGGGGGTGAGAATAGGAGGAGCCTGCCCTACCCCTTCCCCTCCCTCTCCCTGCGCCCCCTCACCCATCTTCTCTCGGAGCCCCCTCAGGGGCGGCAGAGGCGGAGGCGAGGCGGCGAGGGTCTCGGGGCCCGTGGCGGCGCCGTTGCCCTCCGCCATTTTCGGACCACTGAGGCGGTGTGGGGGGCGCGAGCCCCACTCGCAGGCGCGCGCTCCGCTGCTCCCGGACTCCCACTCGGGCGGGCCGACTTCGGCAAGCTGACTTGAGGCGCGGCGGCGCTGCGCATGCGCCCTTGAGCGTCCCCGTCCGTCAGGCGGGTCGCGCACGCGCGCTCCTTCACCCACTCGATCGCGCGCCTGACACCGCCCCCGGCGGCACTTCAAGGGAGGGAGCGGCGCACGCTCGAGCCCCGTACTTCGCCCCCCCCCCGCCCCTCGGAGCGGCGCTAGGCCCCCTTTCCCGCCAAAAGTCTCAGACCCGACTTCGGAGGACTGACTGGAGGCGCATGCGCCGGGTAGGGAGGGAGGCCGGGCCTCGCGCCCGCCCTTGAGCGTCCCCCGTGCGTCTGGAGGGTGGCGCGCGCGCCTAATTCCGTCCCAGGCGGCGCCTGAGGGAGGGAGGGAGCGGCGAGCACGCGCTCCCACTTGCCGCCTTCGAGCGGCTCCTCAATGGAGGGAGAGAGCGGGAGCGCGCGTTCCCCCTCAGCGTGCTCTCTCTCTCTCTCTCTCTCCCGACCCCCTCAGATCCGTGAAACTGAAAACCGAAAAAAGGCGCGACCCGTTAGGAGGCGGCGTTGCGCGTCGCTTCCTTTTCCCCTGGAGGAGGACCCGTGAGTGTACACGTGTCGGGTCATCCTCACGTGGAAAGCCCGTGGCTTCGTCTCCAGGACTCCCGGGAACTGTAGTTTCCTCCTTGGCGCGCTACGGTTCCCAGCCGCCTGGAGCCCACTGCACGTCCCAGGATTGGTCGTGGAAAGCCAGGCGCTTTCGGCGGTGCGGCACACACACACACACACACCCACCCAGGGCTGGATTTAGGTTTGATGAGGCCCTCAGCCAATAATAATAATAATAATAATAATAATAATAATAATAATAATATTCATACCACTGAGAGCCAGTGTGGTGCAGTGGTTAAGAGCGGTAGTCTCATAATCTGGGGAACCGGGTTCGCGTCTCCGCTCCTCCACATGCAGCTGCTGGGTGACCTTGGGCCAGTCACACTTTTCTGAAGTCTCTCAGCCCCACTCACCTCACAGAGTATTTGTTGTGGGGGAGGAAGGGGAAAGGAGATTGTTAGCCGCTTTGAGACTCCTGAAGGGAGTGATAAAGCGGGATATCAAATCCAAACTTTTCATCTGGCTGGGTTTCCCAACACCTCTAGCACCTCACAGGCCGACTGCCCTGGGCGTGTTGCAGGGGGTTGGTCTAGAATCTAGATGACCCTCTGGTCCCCTTTCCCACTCTCTCTCTCTCCCTCTCACGCTGACTCAGCCCCGGGTTTGGATCCTTCCCTAGCCTCAATGCTCCTTGGGAGAGTGAGGGCACTGAGCAGGGACGGATTAGGGTTTGATGCGTCCCTCAGCTAATAATAATAATAATAATAATAATAATAATTTCTTCCCCACTCAGGGCTGGATTTAGGTTTGATGAGGCCCTAAGATACAGGACACAGGTGGTGCTATGGGTTAAACCACAGAGCCTAGAGCTTGCCGATCAGAAGGTCGGCAGTTCGAATCCCCGCAACGGGGTGAGCTCCCATTGCTCGGCTCCTGCTCCTGCCCACCTAGCAGTTAAAAAGCATGTCAAAGTGCAAGTAGATAAATAGGTACCGCTCCAGCGGGAAGGTAAACGGTGTTTTCGTGCGCTGCTCTGGTTCGCCAATAAAGCGAGATGAGCGCCGCAACCCCAGAGTCGGTCACGACTGGACCTAATGGTCAGGGGTCCCTTTACCTTTAGAAACAATAAAAAAAAGTTAAAATGAATTAATCCTTACACCCATGTATACCAAAATAAAACAATGAATTTAAGGGGTGAAATGGAAATAAAAGGAATAGAAAAGAACATACCAATAAAAGAAAAAAATAAGGTCCCTTTATTTATTTATTTTTTATTTATTTTTTAAGAAACAGCAAATTATAACAGAATTTATAAAGTTCCATTTTACAGCTAGGGAACAGTGATACTCAGAGATGAAGGTACATCAGGGTGCTGCATCAGACTACAGGTTTTTGTTGTTGCTCTTGTTGAGCAGATGGGAATCAGAAACCCTTGCTGACATCTTGTAAAATATTTATTAGGATTTTTCAAACACCAAAAACAACATCAAACAGATAAGAAACAAAGAAGCATCAGAATAAGATTATAAGAAAAAGTAAGAATATAAAAAGAAAATACAAATAGAATAAAAATATTCTTGAATCATATTTTCGTAAGTGTCAGGGCTGCCTCAGGTCCCAGCTCACAAGAGACCAATGCCAAGTCCAGTTTATATACAATAATGTTTATTGAAGTCCATTGTACGCTCCACAGCCGAGGCGCGCAGCCCCACGTCTGTTACGCTTAGACCGCTGAAGTCCCCTCTGAGTCAGTCCCTCCTCTACACCAGTTTAAGAGGGCTGTGCTGCTCCACCTCTTCCTTTCTTTCCTTTTCCGCAGGGTCTTCCTGCCCCCTGGGGTTTCGCCCCTCCTGGATTCCCCTGACGTGGAAATCCCCAGACAGCTCTTCCCCCTCCTGTGTGCTTTGGGACCTGGCTTCCTCCTCCGGGCTCCCTGTCCTTCCGCGCGCCTCCACATTTGAACTTGGCGCGCGTTCGCAACCTCTAACCCAGTGTTTCCCAACCTTGTGCCTCCAGATGTTTTTGGCCTAAAACGCCCATCATCCCTGACTAGCAAGACCAGTGGCAAGGGATGATGGGAATTGTAGGCCAAAAACAGCTGGAGGCACAAGTTGGGAACACTGCTCTAACCTTCCTCTTGACAGTTACATTACTCCTGCACTACTCCCCTCCCTTTCCGGGAGGATGTCTTGCTCCGATCTTCCCTCATCTGTGCCTCTGTCCCTGAAACCCCTGACATCCATCCCCCCCCTCAAAACCCCCCCTTCCCCCCTCCCGCCGCTCGGGCGCAGGTTCTGGGAGCTCCGTCGTTGCGGGGGTAGATGCTGGACACAGGTCGTCGACGTCGATCTCCTCTGCTTCCAGTTCAGTGTATGTGTGCTCGAACTCGGGTTCTCTCCCAACATGTTCGCGTCCTCCTCTCCCCTGTTACTTGGCGGTGCTGTTGCCAAGGCCCCTCCCCACCTCCTGCGCCAGTCCTCTTCTGGTTGATCGTCCCACCAGTAAGAGGGTCCGTGTCCACCCCCGAGCACGATCCCCTTGGAGGGCTCGATTCTGGCGTCATCTCCTCTGCGGAGGAGAACCCCCGGAAAGTGCTGGCTGAAAGTGTGGGCGTAAAAAGCCAGTCGTCAAAGTACTCGGCTGGCATGGGCCTGTGTGGGAAAAGGGCATGGAACTCGTCCTTGAGAAGAGGTTCGTCCAAAGCGTAGTCCGGCACCCAACTGTTGGCGCTGGCGGGGTACCCTCTCTGGCGAGAAAATATTCTACTCCCTCTTCCCCCCATCTCGAGTCCAGAATCTCTGTGACCTCGTTGAGTGGTTCGGCCCTAGGTGACCCCCCCTCTTGGGTGACTCTCTGCGTGGTCTGGTGCCGTCCCTGACTCCTGAAATCTGTGTGGGGCCTTGTAGGGGTGAGCACCGACCTATGAAAGACCGGGTGCATTCTGGAACCTTCGGGGAGGGCCAGTCGAAACGCTACGGGATTGATCCTGGCCTCAACTTGGTACGGCCCTAGCTGCCTGTGTCCTAGCTTCTTCTTAGCTAACGACTTGGCCGGCCGCTTGGGCGCTAACCATACCCAGTCCCCACCTGGATGTCTTCTCCGCCCTCCTGTGCTGTCCGCCTGCACCTTATAGGCTTGTTTAGCTAGCTCCAAATGCCGCCGAGCTCCTCGTGACCTCTTGCAGTTCTGCTGCGAAATGGTCGGCCCCTGCGGCCCCCCTCCCCCGTCGTTACAACCCCGGGAAGGTTCTGGGATGTCGCCCATTGTTAGCGAAGAACGGCGTCACCCCCGTCGACGCGTGCTTCGTGTTGTTGTAGGCAAACTCAGCCATCGGCAGGTATCCACCCAAGCTGCGGGTCGCTGATTGGCGTAACATCTCAGGTACTGCTGCATGATCGCGTTGACCCTCTCTGCTTGGCCGTTGGTCTGTGGATGTCTCGCCGACGAAGGTTGATCTTGACGTGCAGGATACCTAGGAGCTTCTGCCAGAAACTGGAAAAACTGGCGCCCCCTGTCGGACAGGATGGACCGTGGCAGCCCATGCACCTGAACACGTGGTCGATGAACAGTTTGGCGGTCTGTTCCGCTGTCGCCACCTTCGCGCAAGGAATGAAGTGCGCCATCTTGGTGAACAGGTCTACAACCACAAGTACCGCCGTCTTGCCTCGGAGCTGGGCAGATCAGTAACAAAGTCCAGCGCTACCCGCTCCCACGGTTGCAGTGGCGTCTCCAGCGGTTCCAGTAGTCCCGCTGGCTTCTGGTGCACTGGCTTGGACCTCTGACAGGTGTCACACCTGGCGACGTAATCCGCGACCTCTCCTCGCATTTGGGGCCACCAAAAGTCCCTGGCTACCAGTTCCGCTGTCTTCTCCTTGCCGAAATGGCCCGCGCTGGGTGCGTCGTGCAACTGCTGCAGAACCTTCGCGCGGAGATCGTCCCCGGCACGTAGAGGGCACCTTTGCGAGTTCAGCCCGTCGCGTATCTGGAACTCGTCGTCCTCGCTGTACCTCTGCGCAGCTCTTCCATCTTGGATTGTGCAAACTGATCCGTTGCAAGCGCGCGCGCACCGCGTCCAGGTCACGGCGGCTGAAGCGCACGCCCACGCCTGCGGTGCGAAAATGTGCTTGGCTGCTACTGTTGCCGCTTCCTCGAGATATTGCGGTTTCCTGGAGAGCGCATCTGCTATGACATTGGAGTCCCCCGGGATGTACTCTATTCGGAAGTCGAAATCCGCGAAGAATTCCGCCCAGCGCATGTGCCTCTGGCTCTGGAGCTTCGCCGTGCGCCAATACTCTAGTTCTTGTGGTCCGTGCGGACCTGCACGGTGTGCTTGGCTCCTATGAGGAAGTGCCGCCACGCTTTGAAAGCCGCGTGAATGGCCAACAGCTCCCTGTCCCAGATGGTGTAGTTCTGTTCCGACTTGCTGAGCTTCCGGGAGTAGAAAGCACAGGGCCTCCAGTTCCCTTGCGGATCTTCCTGCAAAAGGACGGCCCCACCGCTCTGTCTGATGCGTCAGTCTCGACCCGCATGGGCCTGCCGGGATTCA